ACAGGAGTGGTGAGAAAGGACATCCTTGTCTTGTGCTGGTTTTCAAAGGGAATGCTTCCAGCTTTTGCCCATTCAGTATGATGTTGGCTGTGGGTTTGCATAAATGGCTCTTGTTGTTTTGAGGTGTATTCCTTCAATACATAGTTTATTGAGAGTTTTTAACATGAAGGAATGTTGAATTTTATGGAAGGCCTTTTCTGGATCTATTGATATAATCATGTGGTGTTTGTCTTTAGTTCTGCTTATGTAATGAATTACATTCATTGATTTGCATATATTGAACAAACCTTGTATCCCAGGGAAGAAGCCAACCTGATTGTGGTGGATAAGCTTTTTGATGTGCTGCTGGATTTTATTGAGGATTTTTGCATTAATGTTCATCAGGGATACTGGCCTGAAGTTTTCTTTTTCTCTTGTCTTCTGCTAGCTTTGTGGTTTGTTTGGTCTTGGTTCTCTATTTCTTTTAGTTGTGGTGTTAGGTTGTTAATTTGAGATCTTTCTAGCTTTTTGATGTGGGTATTTAGTGCTATAAATTTCCCTCTTAACACTACTTTAGCTGTGTCCCAGAGATTCTGGTACATTGTCCCTTTGTTCTCATTAGTTTTAAAATTCATGTGATTCATTATCTTTTTGTTCTCATTAGTTTTAAAATTCATATGAAACCAAAAAAAGAGCCCAAATAGCCAAGACAATCCTAAGCAAAAAGAACAAAGTTGGAGTCAACATGGTACCCAACTTCAAACTGTACTACAAGGCTACAGTAAAGAAAACAGCATGGTACTGGTACAAAAACAGACACACAAGCCGATGGGACAGAATAGAGAACTCCTTTCTGGAAGGACCCTTAGAAGCAGAGTGCTCCAATGCCCTGCCTGATTCCTTACCTTTGTAGTTTTTCTCTTCCTAGAGCTGGAGCTACTTGTCCCTCTGGCAAGCTGAGCCCCTGCCCAAGTTCCAGGAATGATGCTGTCTCACTGGGTCTCCTGAATCCCTACACAGTGGCAGTCCCAGTGTTAGCTGCTGGAGCATGAGGACAGGTACAGCTCTCTCACAGTGGGATACAACACTACATGATAGATGCAGACCTCAGGGGCAAGGGTCTTATCCTCAAAACAGGGAGACAGACTGGCCAAGAAATGAATACACAAGGAAAAATTATGTTACTTCCCAGGGCTTACTTGTCCTGTGCTGTCTACCTCCTTGACCACGCTCAGACTGCCTAAAATGCTCTGCTCTGTTTTGCTAATTCCAAACCTGTTCATTCTGCAAACACTATTTCCTCTTTGATCTTCCTCAGCTGAAAGAAAGTCCATTTTCTCACTGTACTTTTGTTTTTTAGCATATCTGAGACCAGTGATGCTCCCTTACTCCACAAATACCTTGTTGAGGACCCACTCTATGCTGAGTCCTGCATCTGGCACTGGGGACACACTAGGGATGAAAGGTACAGACTTAGCCCCTTGTTATGGAAACGATAGAACAGTGGGAAGGCAGATATGAGTCAAGTCATCACACCATTAAACATAAAGGGGCACCTGGAATCAGTCCTACAAGGAACAGGTACGTGGTATTCTGAGAGTTATGAAGCTGCCTTGGGGAAGGGACAATTGATCTGAATTCTGAAGGCTGAACAGAAATTAACTACGTGAAGAAGAAAGAGAAGGCCATTCCAGGCAGAAGACAACACGTCAGGGAAGCAGTGCCTGGAGAGAGCAGGGTATCTGCAAGGCTCTGAAAGGAAGGTAGTGGCTGGAAAGGAGCAAGAGGTCTGGTGCTGGCCAGAGTGGAGAGGCGGGCCAGAGCCAGGGAATGCAGGGCAAATTCAAAGCTCCACCCTTCATCCCAATAGCTAACTGTGTGTCCACTCCACTTGCCCTTATCCCTGAGTAACTTAGTGACTCGAAGTTCCTCAGGGATCCCTCACCCTTTAAGAATCTTGGTTCCCTCTACCAGACCTCTGTGTTTAGGACTACGTGAGAAGTGTTAGCTATAATGTCAAGCTACAGACACAGTTAAGGATAAAAATAAAGTACATTCCTGATAATGGGGATGTGGAATCCCCTCCTCGAACAAAGAATTAGGGCTTGGAAAGAGGAGAGGTTGAGATATAAAACCATCTTTTTGTTTCTCTATAATATATATACTCAACCGAAGTGAAACAATGCCACTTGTCAGTCAGCAAACGACCAATGTGAAATGTCCACAAACATATGCATGAAGTCTAACAGACTTCAATCTGGGACTTTGAGATTCCTTGGCAAGTTGGAGTGGCTCAGCTGTAAGGGGTGGCAGAGGTCTAGAGCTTACAGAGTGGCAATATCCCCCACAGTGGCTTGCATAGGTGCAATAACTGATCATAAATGTTAAACAGAATTCTAGGATATTGAGAACTTTTATGTAATCAACAAATGTGTTTAGGACCCTTTTCTGGACTTTTGTCAATGAGGAAGCAGAACATGGCGAAGAAGCATTGGCTGAGATGTAGAAGGGTAATTTCTTCTCACTCCAGCTCTGTCACAAAGGCACTCCTGGGCCCTGGAAACCCTTTCAAGCCATCATAAGCCCCACCTTCATTGCAAAATGTGATGATGTCACCTTCTTAAGTATATTCATAAGAAAGGCAAAAGTCAAAGGATAATCAAAACTACCTGGAAAATGCCTGAAGAAGGCACGATGCTGGAGCCTGACATGACACATACCATCTCTCACTAAGTCCAACGCTGCCAGTTTCTCTCCCAGTGCTGGAAAGAACTGCTGTTGAGTTAACTGAACACCAGATGAGGTTCCTGGCTTGCATTCAGGAGCCATGTTGTAACAAAAAATGTACCTTCTCTTTAAACACTGAAATCATATTTGGGGAGGTGAGATGCTTCTGTTCCAAGAAGTACATCGTGCTGAGGTAATAGTACCAGATGTACATCTCCCATTTCCCCAACTGCTGTTTCTCCACCTGCTAAGAGTAGAAAATTGTACCTCCTCAGCCCTACTTGCTTCAAAAGGATTCTGTAAGAATATGGGTGTGTGTTATCTTTGTATCTTTACAAAGTTTACAAACTTTGCAAAGCCCAAGTCAGTGAAATAAAATCTCCAAAATCAAGTTACCATGTCGACACTAAGTTTCATGTGGCCAACATTTACATTAATGTAGCATCAGTATATATATATATATATATATATATATATATATGTATATAACAGTAGAATCACAAGGCTACAAGTATTTTTGGGAGGACCCAGCCCAATTCCCAACCCAATGTAGAATCCCAATCTAACATAAAGGGAAGAGTAGCTCAGAGACAGGAGAGTCGCTTTTTAACTAGGTGACCTATTCTGTTGCACTTAAACATTTTTCATTGAGTGATTTGACATCTGCTTCTGCAAAACTTTCTCTCACTGACTTTGGTAATATCCTTTGCAGCCACACAAAATATGTATTTTTCCATGTGATAACACCTCAGATGTTTAAGGGCAGCACTCATGTCTCCTCTTCTCACAGGACATTGATACCAAAGAAGTTCTCATGTACCATCCAAGGCATCTACCTCCACATACGCAAAATGTATCCGTGTGCCCATTACCAGGTAGGAAGGAGAATGTAGCCTGCCCATATGCGAGGTTCCTCTACTGCAAAAACTCTTTTCCATCCTGGAATACTAGCTGAAAATCCAGAGTAAATTTAACATAGGGCTACAGATTGAATATTCCTTTCTTAAGTGAAAATTTCAGATGTGTTCTGACCCAGAATATGAACAACAACAACAAAAAAGGAACAAAAGCATTTACTTAATTCTACAAAAAGGAATTCAATTTCTAAAACTCTCCATCATTTAAACATTTGAAATTGCTCCAGGGCTTGTGTTTGGGATTGTGCAGGCATGCCGGTCCTGGAATTCACTTCTGAAGTATCCAGATTGAGCAGAATTAAGATACTGGGATTTATGCTTTCTAATAAACTGAGATAATCAGGAATGTCACAGCTATTTCTCAAAAACACTATGACCTGGTGAACCCATTAACCTTGACATAACTACAGTTGACTCTTGAATGATACAGGTTTGAACTGTGCGGGTGTGTGGGTCCACTTCTATCCCGATTTCTTCTTCTGCCACCAAAGGCAGCAAGACAAACCCCTCCTCCTCTTCCTCTTCAGCCCATCCAATGTGAAGACAATGAGGTGAAGACCTTGATGATGATCCACTTCCACTTAATAAATATAACTGTATCTTCCCTTCCTTATGACTTTCTAACATTTTCTTTTCTCTAGTTTGATTGTAAGGATATGGTAGATAATACATTTAACATACAAAACATGTGTTAACTATGTTATCAGTATGGCTTCTGGTCAACAGTAGGCTATTAGCAGTTGAGTTTTTGAACAGTCAAAAGTTACTCATGGATTGTGAATTATGTAGGAGTCGGTGTCCTTAACCCTTGCATTGTTCAAGGGTCAACTAAAAGGGCAGACTAAGGTCATCTCCCGAATAATTCTCACAACTTCTAAACAAATGGAGTCCCCTAAATTTTCCTGATTGCATGGTTCTTAAAAGAACAATGGCTGAGTAATTCCACCAGTCATATACTTCTCTCTGTTATTTATCCTGATCACTCTCCGGGCTTTGCATGTCTTGGATGTATAGCATATATAGACTGAGATATATACTGTGAAATCTGTTTGTGAATTGCTAAGAGCTGACAAGTTTAAAAATACAGTGTAGGAAAATTACTCATGGTTGTGGAGGAGGATGGGGAAAAGTGCCAAATGGGCTTTTAATGAAGCTGTCTCAGTGTGAACATACATAAAAATAACTTAAGATATAGGCATTATGATGAACAAAAATGATCTAGCTAAGTTTTCAAGAAAACCTATAGGTACACAAGATCCTGGTGATTTATATGTATGATGAACAGCTTAATCATGAAGGACCATTTTGTTTCCTGTTAGTGGACCAACATACTTGGCTCCCCAAAATCACTCCAACTAGACAAAACATATCAACACATTAGTCAGAAATATAGCTTTATTATCATAATATTTCATAATCTAAAAACTTCTTTAATTCTGGGAACAGAATTTTCCAACTTCTGTACAACTGACTGGCCCTGCAGAATACTGGAAAACTGTCTAAGCAACTTGAGACTTGCAGATAACAATCTGTAACCTAGTTTGAGAAAAAGGGAAAAAGCAAGAAAAACAGTTCAAAGGAAGATTTCTTCCCTACAAAACAAATAAAATTAAATCTATTCTCCAGTTTAACCTTGAACATAGTTTCCCAGAAACTTTGGTGATTTCTTCAAAAAAGCAACTGCCTTACCTCTAAGGTCAACCGCCCATGAGGACAAAGAAAATATTTAAAAATAAGACACAAACGGGTCATGGCACATAGCTCAGGCCATGGTGTGTTAAGTGGAATATGCTTCAGAGTAAGCCATCTCCCATGTTTTGACACTAAATTTATGTCTCTAAGGAAGCACAACACACATAACACATTTTTTTATATGGCGGTCAAAATTTAGTGGAAACTTAAAAAAATTTTAATATAATAAACAAATCTCAAAATAATTTGTCTTGTGAAATATAGAGTAGGATGACATTATGGTACTTTCTGAAGATCATGGGGTACCACTGTCAAAGAGAGTTGCCATGCCCTCTAGGTATGTTAGATGAAAATCCAAAATGTCAGTTACTTTAAATAAAACAGAAACAAGTTGTCATTGCACACACATTACGGAACAAAGATCATGCAATAGAACTAACAAGTCATGTTTTTAGTATGCAAAAGGCTAAAGTGCAATCATGGTATAAGCATCAATAATAAATAACTTTAGAAGAAGAAGTTAATTCTCCAAATTAATAATAATTATAACATTACCATTTTTACAATATTAGCCTAAACAGTGATATTCACAGCAATGTTTCTCACCACTTGATAGCTGCCTATATATCACATGAATGATCCACCCCCATAAGCCAAAAGTCAAAGTGAAGATTCAAAAATGAACATTTTCACTATAGTAGGTTCAAAATGTTTGTATAATAAGTTACTGGCATTTTAAGTAACTGCTTTATTACCTATTTTTAATGCACTGCTAATTTGATGCTTATTGCAATAACAATCATAATTCTGCCAATGTTAATTAGGTAACAGTTTTTTTTTAAATAAGATAATTCAGTTTACATGAACAAACATATCTAGTTTAAAAACCACCCACCACAAACACACACTTTCTCCATGGGTATTTAAAAATAAATTATTAATATACTTAACATACATATTTTGTATGTGTTTTATATATATGTATATATGTATATATTTGTGGACAAAATTATTCCTGTTTTCAGAAGAATGTCAGCACTTGTAAACTCTGCATGAAACCTGATGATATTGCTAAATTTAAGGAAAAAATAACATGGAAATTCATTCTTGAAGAAAATCATACAGCAGGAAACTTTTAACAGATAGCTCTTTGTGGGAAAAAAAAAAGCCATTTTTGGGAGGGAAGGAGGGGAAGACAGTGTCAGATTCTGGCTCCTACATGCATTGTTTATTTCAGAAATTACTTTAGAATGCAACATACAGTGAACATTTCAGATACTTGGTTGAAAGATACCTGAAGCCTTAACAGGGCACAGAAGCAGCAGGAGGCCAAGTGAACCACTCAGTGGAAAAGTTAAGCCAGCGAAGAGAAAGTCATGCCCACAATAGACAGAGAGAGGGCCACTGACACTGTCTGGGAAGCAGATCTTAGGAAAGGGCTTGGCGACACCTGCAGTGCTTCCAGGATGGTCACGATGCACCGAGCATGCAGTCCACTGTCATTCCAACCACCTAGACACCGAGCCCACACTGGGAGCAGATCAAAAGAGGTTTTTACTGGGCTCCCCAGCCATATCCACAGAAGCAGCTATTAAGATAGAGGCTGGCAGCGTGGTCTGCAGGTGCAGAATACTCAGCCAAAGAAGACGGCAGAGGTACCAAAATCTGAATAAACACGCATCTAGGCCACCAAAAAACCTCAATCAAACAAACAGAAAGACACTCTGTCGAAATGAGAACTGAAGTCTGACTGAATGAGTCCCTGGAGCAACCCAGAAATTGAAATCTTGATTAACCAGAATACTCAGGGAATGGGAATCCTTATTTTGGAGGCTTTCAAATTAACTGAGGGGAAGGTTATACTCAAACACAACTATCTTCATTTTACTGCTATGAACAGAACTTTACACTCCCATTCCTTGCCTCACACTTTGGAGAGCAGTGGGCACAGATGACTTTTCCCCCTAGGCCTGACATACCATGTGGCCTTGGGCCTGAAAATTAATGGCCACTGCATAGAAGCCCAGAGGCCAAGATTGCTGGAGACTGGATCAGTTACTTTAGAGGTTAGGGCTTTAAGACTGATTTAATGTTTTTATTATGTCTGTAATTTGCAAGCTTCTAAAAGGGGGTCATCATACAATTCTGGTTCACTAAGATTCCCATTTGCTAAGCTCTGGTTAATCGAGGTGCTTGCCTGTGTTATGCCCTTGGCTCTTCCAATGTGTCTTACTATGGAATGTTTCCAGAAAGACATTACTGCTGGCCCCTGGAAGAACATTTCCCAAAGCCCAGCGATAATTGGTCCAGCAACACCCACCCTTTTAGATGATGTTCACAATGGCTGTTGGCTTTTTTTTAGCCATTTTGGGCCTGATGTTGCCTTTGCGGCCAAACCCCAGGAGCTCCCCTTTCTTTGGAGGTCTGCAGAGGTCTCTTGAGGACTCAGCCTGTTCGTGAATGGCCTTGGCAGGCTGCATGCTGGCTCTGTCATCCTTGGCCTTTTTCAGGTAGTTCCTTCCCTTTGGATGAAAATGGGCCTTGAGATCAGGGTGGTTACACACGGAATGCGGGTGCCCTCGGCTTCTACAGATGGTTGGGGGGAGTGGAGAAGAAGTGAGCAGAAATAAAGATTTCTTTAAAATCTTAAAAGAATAACTACTCATGGCACAATCTCTCCTATATGCTACAGTGGTGATAATGCTTCCCCAAAGACAAATCATATATATGGGTATTTTTCTTCCAAAAATTCCTGTGGCTCCCATGAAATGATCACATGGTACTACATTCCCAGGGAGATATTACTAGTCCTATTTACAGTGATAAGACTGAGGCCCAGAAAACGTCAATGACTACCCAGAATAATACATATAGTTGGTCTATGGAGAAGACGGGACCAGAACCCTTGTCTCTTGACTCTTTAAGTGATGACTAGAGGACTCAGACAAATTCACTGCATAGATGTTGTAAAGCATATGACTCCCAGTATGAATTTACATAAACAATGTAATACATGAACGACATTAATACTACTATAGAGTTGTTATGAACACCCTAAACCTCAATAAGAAAAAGTTACACTATATAATACTCTAAAAATACTCCTCCAGTACCATCATACTGGCATATACCAATAGACTAGTAACATACTGAAAAGTCACATCAACTTTTCACAAAGTTAGGCACACATGCAGGTCAGTTTTCGCTTAAGCCTTTCAAATCCATTTGTAGTATAGATATCATATAAAATAGACATGATCTCACATAAAATGCAATAGGAAAACATATAATACAAACATTATCAAATGGTCCAAGTATAAAAAGACATACATACAGGCATTTGGGTTTCCTATTTGAGGAGATGTCTGTAAGCTAAAGGAAAACAAATAAGAAAAAATGTTACTGCATTTGAAGGCCGGGTTTGGTTTTTAAAATATTTCTTGTATTTTCTATAAAAACTGCATCCCCATTCAGGGAGTCAGTGACTGTTACTGAGGGCGTGACCTGCAGCACCATCCACTGCATCGGTGAATAAGAATGTCTCATGCTCAGCCTTTGCTTGCTTACTCCAGGAGCCTCTGTGGGCATTTGTTCTGAGACTGCCAAGAAGTCTATGTCAGCAGATCTCAAAAATCTCAAACACTCAAAAGAGCCTCCTGATAGAGCAACATTAGAAGAAATAGGTTTTCAAATACTGGAATGCCTTTGCATCCTCATAGTTCAGCTCACACTTCTAAGTGAGAACTTGGTTTTCCATTCCTGAGTTACTTCACTTAGAAGAATGTCCTCCAGCTCCATCCAAGTTGCTGTAAAGACCATTATTTCATTCCATGTTATGGCTGAGTAGTATTCCATGGTGTATGTATACCACATTTTCTTTATCCACTCATTGGTTGATGGGCATTTAGGCTGGTTCCATATTTTTGTAGTTGAAAACTGTGCTGCTATAAACATGTGTGTGCATGAGTCTTTCTCATATAATTTACTTCTTTTCCTCTGGGTAGATACCCAGTAGTGGGACTGCTAGATCAAACAGCAGTTCTATTTTTAGTTCTTCAAGGAGTGGGGTAAGGGATAAAAGACCACATATTGGTATAGTGTACACTGCTCGCATGATGGATGGACCAAAATCTCAGAAATCACCACTACAGAATTTATTCATGTAATCAAACACCACCTGTTCCCCAAAAACTACTGAAATAAAATACAAACATACATACAGAAAAATAAAATAAATATATAAAATTCAAAAACCTGGAATGATATGCCATGATTTCTTGACTTGATTCAAGCTGTATTAGCAGCTAATCTATAGCTATAGCCAGATTATCACAATGTATCAACTAAGGGGAACATTGACATAAAGGCTTCTTGCCTATAATACATCATTTCTAAAATGAGAGAACATGAAGAACAACCCCACAACTCTCCCTGAGTCCGTCTATCATCCAGATAACTTCCCACTCCTAATAATTCATTCAATAAAACATCTGCATGTACTTTTGTGGTTGGGCTTGAAATATTCTCATCTGCAGAATAAATTGATAATTATCATTTTGTGATAGAGATGTCACCATCCAGTTTATAGGCAGATGCAGTATATGTTCATCCTCCTGATCCTGATCTTCCTCATGTAGCTTTCACTAGAATAAGTGTTATCACATTAGCAGGCAGACCGACAGAAGAGAAACCACAACTAAAATGTGGAGAAAAGGCCACCTTGGTATTTGGGCCAGTGTGGACAAGACATGTGTCCCTGCTTTACTAAAATAATCTGAAACCCAAGCTCAGGCTAACAGGATCACTGCCCATATTCTGTCTGGAGCAAGCAATAAAAGAGGCTCCTTAAGAAAAAAAAAAAAAAAGAAACAAAATGAGGCTCATGTCATGAGGAGGCAAGATGGAATTCTTGTGTTCTGTCTTTTGACACAATCAGAACTCAGCAATATTTTGACCCTGCTCATGTAGGCTGTGTTTGGCTTGAGATTAGTGAATTTGTAACAGAAAAAGGCACCATCCTCACATGATGTCCCAAAGATTATGCAACATACAAAGAAGGTGGGACAGATGGCTCCGGCAAACGCCAGGCTGATAGCTTCTGAGGACCCTGAAGGCACTGGCATCAACTTTCTTGCTCTCTACCCCACCATCACCAATAAGTATTTCTCAGCTGGGCTCCTTCAGTGAACTTTAGTCAATGTCTAAACTGTAAAAATAAACAGTTTTTCTTCCTTTAAATCTTTCCTCCTTATTTTTTTTTTCATTATTAGGACAAAACAAAATGTGTTCACTTTATTGTTTGTATATATGTAAGTGGCAGTTTAATGATTTGTTGCATACGTATGTATACATACTACCCTTTGGAATTTCATGCAAAGCTGAGAGAGAGAGAGAGAGAGAGAAAATGAATACGTATGTGTGTATGCTTCTGTCCCTAAGAAAAAGGCCAACAGTGATATCACAGGTTCAAAGTGATCTCTGACTTCAAAAATCTTTTTAGAACTACAACCTTAGTGACAATGAATGTCACTAATGGACCCGGCTGGGACCTCAAGAAATGAAAGGACTTTACTGTGTCTTATTGAGAGGGAAATGCGTGATAAAGATGAGTAAAGATGGGTCATGAAGCTCACATATATAAGGGTACTACAAATTGTGCATGTCTAGATGTCACATACCAGGTCAAATACTGACCATATAACAGGCAGGATTAATGCTCACAGCCACCCTCGGAGGTAAGCATCATCATTCCAATTTTACAGATATGGAAACGAAGGTGGCAGAGTTAAGTAACTGATTTGAAGCCTCAGTGCTTTACCAGTGTTAGGGTAGGCTTTCAGATCCAAGTTAGCAGACTCCAAGCCTTAGCAAGCCTTCACTCTGTACTGTCTTCTTTAAAAAGGATGTTTGTGCATATAAATAAAGAGCAAAGAAGTATGTAGTATGTACACAATAAATTAAGTGGAATCAATGGCTGGACTGGAATTTCTCCAAAGATCCTGTAAATGATGAGGTTTAGGGTGGAGGCCTAGGCTTATCATCACAGCCACCACAGAGTTTCCTCTGCTGTCCCTGTGAACACAAAAGGCCACTGTTCCTCCTGGCCCCTTTGGCCTCAGATAGGAAATCTTCCCACTTAGTTCATCTACCTACTTCCATTTTCTCCTAGTCCAATGCTTCCGTCTTCCTTTTAATTAGGGAGAGGAGGATATTAAGATGAGGATCAGGACAGCCTTTGATCACGTTCCCAGGTTGGAAAAATATAAATAGCTTTGTACCAAAACCAACCTAACTATAGGTTTGTCTAATTCTTATCCAAAATGCTTAGGACCAGAAGTGCTTCAGATTTAGAATTTCAGAATGTTTGCCAGTTCAACAACCCTAATCCAGATATATGAAAACCAAAATGCTCCAATGAGCATTTCCTTTGAGCATGACCCTGGAACACTCAAAAAGTTTTGGATTTTGGAGCATTTAGAATGTCAGATTTGGTCAGGTGTGGTGTCTCACACCTGTAATCCAAGCACTTAGGGAGGCTGAAGTGGGCAGATCACCTGAGGTCAGGAGTTTGAGATCAGCCTGGCCAATATGGCAAAACTCCATCGCTACTAAAAATACCAAAAAATGAGCCAGACATGGTGGCAGGTACCTGTAATCCCAGCTACTTGGGAGGCTGAGGCAGGAGAATCACTGGAACCCGGGAGGTGGAGGTTGCAGTGAGCCAAGATCGTGCCATTGCACTCCAACCTGGGCAACAAGAGCAAAACTCCACCTCAAAAAAAAAATAAATAAATAAGGAATGTCAGATTTTTGGATTAGGGATGCTTAGCTTGTAATATACATTCACCTATAAAATAAGAAGTCATGTCTTTAATATCTTCCAGTACCAAATCTGGCCTCCCAGGATATCTGTGGCTGTAGAGACAAAGAATAAGTCAGATGCTTTTAACAATGAAAATTTTGAATAATATCTTTGACCCAGCTTAGTAAAGGTATAGAGAGCCCAGAAACCCAGGCTTCTGAAGCCTCAGCCCTACAAGGACAGCTTCTCATCCCAGTGCACTGCAGAATAGGCAGAAGATTTTAACTCTACTCCCCACTCTCCCCTTCTTGCTTGCACACCTGAGCTCCCTCCTTCAGAAAATGAGGAATACCGTCCCCAGCCCGGCTCTCACTCTCTCCGCTAAGGCTGTACTGCAAAAACAGTGTCGATTCCCTCCCTGTCTTCTCTTCCCTCTTTTTCTCATTACCTCCTCTAGAGAGCAGTGAAATTCCTAGATTAATATGTAAGTTGCTTCTTTCTAAGGTGACTTATAGCATTAAGAATCTTCTGTGCTATGGAAAAATTTTCTTCCCCTCACACTTAGTGCCTTTGCTGAAATAATGTTTTGGCATCTGTATCTTTTTCCCTCAATTCCCTTGAGCATTTATGTTCTTGTTCACCTGGCTGATTTCTAAAAATATAATATGCTTATGCAGATATTTTACCTTTATGCTCTGAAAAATGCTGTTGAATTAGACACAAAGTGACCTACTATCCCATCTGTCAAAATCACTCACACAACTGATCAAATGGAAGGTCACAGAACAGCTTGGTTAATCTTATTTTAAGTGTTGCATTTATGTCCTGCAAGTTGCTAAGTCAGGACTAGCAGTAATTCATTTAACAAATATTTTCGGGGTACAGAACTTATTGGTACTAAGGAAACTGCTCCCAGTGAGGAGGGGGACACAATTACTGAATAAGCAAATGAATATAATTTCACATAGTGCTAACTACCACAGGTTGAATATCCCTAATGCAAACATCCAAAATCCAAAAGCTCCAAAATCTGAAACTTTTTGAAGGCCAACATAACCCTCCAAGGAAATACTCACATTGGAGCATTTCGAATTTCTGATTTTGGATTAGGAATGCTGAACCAGTAAGCCGAATGCAAGTATTCCAAAATCTTAAAAAATGTGAAATCTGAAACATTTCTGGTCCCAAGTACTTCAGATAAGGTATACTCAACCTGTATGACAATGAAACAGACTGTTATAAGAAAAAATGGCCTACAGTGTCCGCAGACTGTCTCATAATGCGGCTATTGTCCAAAGCAGAGTTTAGAGCACTAAACATGGAAACAAGGGGAAGCCACATCTGCCTAATGCTTTCAGAAATCACATACCTCATTCTTGGTCTTCCTAGGACAACGTATCCTCCCTTTAACCCTCAAACAGTTCCCTCACCACAGCCTGATCATGCCCCGCTCACACATCTCTAAATTAGAGCTCTCATCTCTAAATTTCTTGCTATATTCTAACTGCACTTTATTTTATTTGAATTAGTCAATTTTTCCTTCAGTAGAGCAAGTCTGTGAAGGCAGATCATATCGTATTTGTAATACAGAAGGTACAAACATAAATATTTATTAATTTCCCACCATTTGTATATGCATATATGTATACATTTTTGTGCATGTATTTATGTGTGTATATGCATGCATATACATGTACATTTGTGTGTGGTGCATACATATGCACAGTCATGTACTATAAAACAATGTTTCGGTCAATGACAGACTGCATATACGAGAGTGGTACCATAAGATTATAATAAAGCTGAAAAATTCCTATCACCGAGTGACACCATAGCTGTTATAAGGTCGTAGCACAATGAATCACACATTTGTGGTGATGCTGGTATAAATGAAACTACTGTGTTGTCAGTCACATAGAAGTATAGCACATACAATTACATACAGAGAATAATACTTGATAATGACAATAAATGACTATGCTACTGGTTTGTGTACTTACTACACTATACTTTTTATCTTTTTATTTTAGAGTGTACCTGTTCTATAAAAATAAAATGTTATCTGGAAAACAGCCTCAGGCAGGTCCTTCAGAAAGTATTCCAAAAGAAGGCATTGTGACCATAGAAGATGAGAGCTCAATACATGTTATAGCCTCTGAGGACCTTCCAGTGGGACAAGGTGTGAACAGAGATATTGATAATCCTGGCTATGTGTGTATTTGTGTCTTAGATTTTAACAAAAAAAGCTTAAAAGTGGAAAAATTTTAAATTATAAAAACAGAAAAAAAAAGCTTATTTGAATAAAGGACATAAGAAAAATATTGTTGTACTTCTCTGGTATAAAAATAGGCACATAGACCAGTGGAACAGAATAGATAACCCAGAAATAAAGCCAAATACTTACAGCTAACTGATCTTTGACAAGGCAAATGGAAACATAAAGTGGGGAAAGGCCACCCTTTTTTAACAAATGGTGCTGGCATAATTGGCAAACCATATGAAGACGAATGAAACTGGATAATCATCTCTCACCCTATACAAAAATTAACTCAAGATGGATCAAGGTCTTAAATCTAAGACCTGAAACCATAAAAATTCTAGAAGATAAAATTGGAAAAACCCTTGTAGACACTGGCCTAGGCAAAGATTTTATGACTAAGAACCACAGAGCAAATGCAACAAAAACAAAGAGAAATAGATGGGACTTAATTAAACTAATAAATCTTCCACACAGCAAAAGAAGCAATCAGCAGAGTATGCAGACAACCCACGGAGTGGGAGAAAACCTTTGCAATCTATACATCCAACAAAGGACTAATATCCAGAATCTACAAGGAACTCAAACAAACTAGCAAGAATAAAACAATCCCATCAGAAGCAGACTAAGGGCATGAATAGACAATTCCCAAAAGGAAACATACAAATGGCCAACAAACATATGAAAAAATGCTCAACACCACTAATGATCAGGGAAATGCAAATCAAAACCACAATGTGATACCACCTTAATCCTGCAAGAATGGCCATAATTAAATAAATTTTTTAAAATATAAGTTGGCAGGGATGTGGCAAAATGAGAACACTTTCATATGGCTGGTGGAATTGTAAACTAGTACAAGCACTATGGAAAACAGTGTGGAGATTTCTTAAAGAACTAAAAATAAAACTACCATTTGATCCAGCAATCCCACTACTGGGTATTTAACCAGAAGAAAAGAAGTCATTATACAAAAAAGATAATTTCACACATGTTTACAGCAGCACAATTTGAAATTGCAAAAATACTGAAGCAGCCCAAATGTCCAAGCCCATTAATCAATGAGTGGATAAAGAAATTGTGGTTTTTATATACCGTGGAATACCACTCAGCCATAAAAAGGAAATAAATAATGGCATTCTCAGCAACCTGAATGGAATTGGAGACCATTATTCTAGGTAAAGCAACTCAGGAATGGAAAACCAAACATCGTATGTTCTCATTTGTAAGTGGGAGCTAAGCGATGAGAATGCAAAGGCATAAGAACGATACAATGGACTTTGAGGTCTCAGCGAGTGGAGGAGGAAAGGGTGGGAGGGGCGTGAAGGATAAAAGACTACAAATTGGGTACAGTGTACACTGCTTGGGTGATGGGTGCACCCAAACCTCAGAAATCATCACTAAAGAACTTATTCATATAACTAAATACCACCTGTTCCCCCAAAACCAATGGAAATCAAAAATTAAAAGTTAAAAAAAAATTCTACATAATGCTTGTGTTTTAAGCTGTTATTACTAAAGAGTCAAAAAGTTAAAAAATAATTTAAAAGTCTATAAGATAAAAAAGTTATAGTAAGCTAAGGTTAATTTATTGTTGAAAGAAAAGTTTTACACAAATTTAGTGTAGTCTAAGTGTGCAGCGTTCATAAAGTCTACAGTAGTGTACAGTAATGTCCTAGGCCCTCACGTTCATGTACCAGACACTTGCTGACTCACCCAGAGCAAATTCCAATCCTGCAAGCTCCATTCATGGTAAATGCCCTATACAGCTATACCATTTCTTACCTTTTATGTCCTATTTTTACTGCACCTTCTCTATGTTTAGATACATAAATACTTGTCATTGTGTTCCAATCACCTACAGTACTCAGTACAGTAACATGCTGTACAGGTTTATTGCCAGGGAATGACAGGCCATACCATATAGCCTAGGCATGTAGCAGGCTACACCATGTAGGTTTGTGTAAATAAGGTCTATGATGTTCACACAATGACAAAATTGCCCAACCACACATTTCTCAGAATGTGTCACATTGTAAAGCAACATGACTGGATATAATCTTGCATGTACATATCTGATTAGAAGATCCAAAATGCTACCCAACTTTTGATTACATTATTTGGCACGATGTGAAATAATGACTGGCTACATCTCTTTAAAAATGTTCAACTTTCATGCCAAAAAAATAAACTAAGCAAAAGAGGTGGGCAAACACAATGTTAAAGGAGAATGAATGGGCTTCCTTTCTTCCTGCTTGCCTTCCATTGTTTTCTCTGAGATTCCTCTTGGCTGAGTATAGGAGAATTTCATAGGAGTTAGCTCTGGATGACTTACAATTCTAAATATGAAAACGTCAATGTTACATTTTAATTTTAGAATTCCTAGCCATCAGAGTGAGGTAATGCTCAGATAAGTTAAGAGGCCAAAACAACTTAGAAAGCACTGAATCCAACCCCTCCATTTTACAGAAGAATTATAGGCCGAGGAAGACCCACTAACTTACCCAGTCAGAAGCAGCTTAAGAACAAACTGGAAGCCAGGCATTTTCAGGCTTTTTCACCTCACATCTTGGTACCATAACCTCATGCCCCAACCCTTTTGAGAGCACAGGATGAAAGAAGACAGCAGAAAGAGGCTCAGATAGTCCCTCCAGCCACAGCTAGTCAGGACTAGACACTCTCATGGTTTCCCAAGGAGGAGACAGAGAGAAATCAAGGTGGGGTGTGACTTCCCCCTTAGAAGTATTTCATGTAGAAGACCACAGACACCCACCCAGAAAATAATACATATGTTTCGTGGATGAGCCTGCTTTGAATATAGTACCTAAAACCTCACAGATGTAGCAAACTTCCTTCCAGTCTTTTTTTTGTTTTGAAAGTTCCAGGGCTTCTATCACTGAGCTGCGCTAAGGCCAAGTGTACATGATTACAGCAAGCACCATGCAGGACCTCCTTCATTTCTTTCCGTCCTTCCTCCCTTCCTCTCCCTTCTTCCTTCTTTTATCCGCCTGCCTTTCATTTCATTCCTTCTTCTGGACAAATAGTTCTATTATTTAATCATGTTGGCTTTTCACGTTGGCTTCCAGAAAGCCCTAAGTAAACTTTTAAATCAACCAATAGCAACCCTTCTAATCTTTTGATCAGCATAAATGTTTCTTATTTTTCTTTTCCTTATACTAGAGACCATTTGCTGCAGGGATGGAAGCAGTAAAAAAAAAAAAATCATTATAATATCTTCTAGGATGGAAGTAAGCATAAACAAAGTTCAATAAGTAATGAAAATGTTATAAATAAACCACTTTGGGGTACCCAAAATCTTTCTTTGGCTTTGTTGTTTATACCACCAAGGAAACTGTAGAGAAGGCAAATATGATGACCTGCCTCCCCACCTAGAGTACAGTTATTTGTACCTCCCTCTGCCCTCCAAAGAGACCAAGGGAATCCTGATCAAGCCACTTATGAGAACCTGAATCTTTATTCACATCCGGGGATCTCAACTGGGCTCTAGGTGTTTCCTAAAATCCTGAAAGTATATGCAAAACTGTATGCAGGAATCGACCCCAGAACTATCACTTGCGAATCTTTCAGTCTTTTTGAAAATCTACGTAAAGAATTTTAACCTATAGAGAATGCTGAACAGTGTTTGCCTCCCTTATTAAGGAAAAAATGTAAATGTGGTTTGATCTTACTTTACTGAATTTCCTAAGATTCTCTTGAAGAGCTCCAAAACACGACAGTAACTTCTGAGCTACTTGAACATCAAAACTGAAAGGAACAATTTCTTTGGATACTTCAAACTCTGCTATTTTACAAATTTAAAAATATATAGATTTTTACCAACTCAGCATGGTGTGGAGTGGGAGGGCAAAGACGGACTGGAAATGGCACAAGCAGCCTTTACTTTATTTCCAGGTGTCCTGGACTCCACGGTGACATTTCCACACGATAGGCACGGCCCAGGCAGTGCTCTCAAATGGTGTCTAGAGTCCCTGCAAGTCACTCTGCTCCCTTTTCTCTGTCCTCAGTCCATTCTCACCACCCAGAGGGACCTCACACTTGGTGGCCGGCCCGGGATGACTCACCACGTGTCCGCTGAGGTCACGGCGGAAGCCGGAGGCCTGCTGGCTCTGATAGTACTCCAGTTGCTTCTCTGCCAGTTCTACCCGCTGTAACAGATTCTCAATAAAGTCCTGGAGCCGGGCTTTCCCTTGAACCTCCTTCTCAGCTGCCGCTTCCAGGAAATGGTTGAATGTGACAACTTCTCTGCAAGGCAAAAATGTCAGAACACAAAACGGAAATATGAGGCAAGGAATTCACTCAGTCAACACATATTTATTGAGTGCCTGCTATGCGTCAGTTACTACCCAAGGCAGTACTCCATGGCAATGATGAGAAAGGTAATCACCTCTTAGTGATTACATTTAGAGATCGCATTTTAGTAGAAGAAGATAATCACCATAAAACATTCAAATAAATATATGTCAGATATATGTCATAAGTGCTAAGAAAACTGCAACTGGATGCAAGGGGACAGTGACAGAGGAAGGAAAGGAGTGAGGAATATCCTAAAAAGCAAAGTTAGAAATGAGCTTTTGAATAGGGTAACATTTGAACAGAGACCTGAGAAAGCCCGGAGGAAGAAGCCATGCAGGGGTTTAGGAAGAGCAAACCAGGGGCATGCAGGTGGGTCTGAGGTACAGCAAGGGGCTCTACATGGAGGAGGGAGCCAGGTAGGGCCTCACAGGTCACTGTGAGGCTTCAGGTTTTATTATGAATGAGATGGGAAACCATTGGATGTATTGCTTTTAAGACAAGCTCTGACTTGGATTTTAAGAGAGAAAACTCCACAGGGAGGGAAAGTATAGGAGCAAGAGGCCAAGCTGAGCACCAAAACAGCGCATCCAATGAGTCATCTTATCCAATAGTATATTTTTGACCTAAGAACTAAACAACCCATACAGCTACCTCGAGGTCAACCCAAAGACCACTGGGAAAACTATTCTAGTGTGGACATAAGAGAAGTAATGCATGGGTCTGTCTCCCCTAAGGAGCTGAGCAAAATACTTCAACTAACCTTTTATCTACATAATTCACAAGTACATTACAAATCTTGGAAAATTCTAATAACTTCATTACCACCTTATATTTTCCTTTCATTTTTTATGAAAACAGTATTTTTTTCTGATTTATAAACAATATAAGCACATGGACACAGGGAGGGGAGCACTACACACAGGGGTCAGTTGGGGGGAAATAGGGGAGGGATGGTGGGGGGTGGGGAGCTGGGGAGAGACAGCAAGGGGAGAGATGCCAGATGTAGGTGATGGGGAGGAAGACAGCAAATCACACTGCCACGTGTGTACCTATGCAACAATCTTGCATGTTCTTCACATGTACCCCCAAACCTAAAATGCAATAAAATAAATAAATGGGAAAAAAATTCAAATAGGGTCAGGCACGGTGGCTCACGCCTGTAATCCCAGCACTTTGGGAGGCAGAGGCGGGCAGATCACGAGGTCAAGAGATCGAGCCCATCCTGGCCAACACGGTGAAACCCTGTCTCAACTAAAAATACAAAAATTAGCTGGGCATGGTAGCCCACGCCTGTAGTCCCAGCTACTTGGGAAGCTGAGACAGGAGAATCACTTGAACCTCAGAGGCAGAGATTGTAGTGAGCCTAGATGTGCCACTGAGCTCCAGCCTGGCAACAGAGTGAGACTCCGTCACAAAACAAAACAAAACAAAATTCAAATAGCACATTAGAAATATAAAAAGGGAAAGATCACCTGAAACTCCATTATCCTGAGACCACCACCATTATCTTGGTAGCCATCGTCACGGACATCACACTCATCTCCAAACACATCCACCCAAGCATGCACACACACAGTTTTCCTTCTTCTCCCACCTTGCCCTCACGTCTCAATTCCCCTCTCCGCACCCTCTTTCCCAGGACAAGGACCCAGTAATCACCACTATGAATAGGTGTATGTTGCCACAGTTCTCTCCACCCTATTGTCTTTACTCACTAAGAAGCCAGGAATATCCTTTCAGTCATCATCCTTGTATGCTCTACCACTGGAGCTAACAAATTCCGTAATTTTACTATTTGTTGGATAGTATTTCCTTTACGTGTCTCCAAAATCTCTTTCAATCTTCATGGAATGGACTCTCGTTGTTTTTGCCATGTGCAACTTACACAAGATTCTAAAGACTCTACTTTCTGTCCTTTCAGGCTCTTTCCATTTTGATTCGTGAACCCTAATTTTTGTTTAACTTGATTCAGTTGTTCTAGACAGTTAATTAAACTCATTGGCTTTTCTGCATCTTCTCAACCTCCACTTGATCTTTATTTTCCATTGAGCTCTATAATTTCTTAAGAGTAGAACTTTAGGGAAGTCTGGCTAAGAAGTCAGAATTTTACATCAGATCTTTGCAAAACAGCTCGTAACTTCTAGCTCTTTTCTTCTGTACTAATGGTCAGTGTGCCACTTTCACAATTAGTGAAGATTTTTCTCTCACATATTATATCACACTTGGCCATACTGAAACTTTTCTGACACTTCCTATAGAATCACACATCCCTGCAAAACTTTGGGAATTACATATTCATAAAAATAGGTAACAGGCTGGTTTTAATAATGATTCACGCAAAGAAATGCTAGTGATACCAGCCCCATTTTTTCTAATTTCCTATCCAGGATCAAATATAAACCCTAATTCCATAATAATTCTATCATCTTTCAGTAGCTAAGAAATATCCACACAAAAGAAATGAGTCCTTTTGGAAAAGAATTTTTTTCATCATCAAGTTTCAAGTTTATTTCCAGATGTTTCCGTCTCAGCCCTCAATAGAAGATGTGTACTTTTCCAGGTCCTCATTATTCAGGCCATGAACACAAGCCAGTTTTTAAGCTCCACCATCATTCACTTTGATCTGCCTCCTACATGAGCCACGAACCTTAACTAGCAGCAAAGGAGGGGCGGTTCCATATGAATGTACCCCCAACCCTTTCACGGTTCTTGCTTATAGTTTAGGTCCTTTGGGATGGTGTATTCTGGAAACACACCACAGGAAAATGGCTACTACTTCTTATTTCCAACATTTAGGCTTCAATTCATTTGGCGTCTGAGAATCCAAATCTCTACAAGCCTGTTGTAGAGATTTCCTGGGTGATATTTAGGATAACTGAATGATGAAACTGTCTCCTAACTGTACTTATAGGGCAAACAACCAAAAGTTTAAAAAAAAAAAAAAATAAAGGGTACCATTTAAAAAAATTCATTTTGGTCAAAATTTCCTATATTTATTTGATTATAGAAATGGTTCACATATATTAAGGAAAATATAAAAATTGACCTACTGGAGGATTCAACTGGGCAGGGATGGAATCAGCTTTTGTTCTCTAAGTCCAACACTCAATATAATTGTGTTTGACACACAATATTGAATAAGTATTTGTTGTAATTAATGTTTATAAAGGACAAGGAAGAAACTAAAAAAATGACCCAAAATCCCACCACTCAGAAGTAACTACTGTCAACATCCGGTATATTTTTTCCTGTCTTTTATCTCTGCGCCATGAGCATTTTTTTTTTTTTTTTTTTTTGAAAGAGTCCCACTCTGCTGCACAGGCTGGAGTACAGTGGTGTGATCTCGGATCACTGCAACCTCCGACTCGCTGGTTCAAGCAATTCTCTTGCCTCAGTCTCCCGAGTATCTGGGATTATTACAGGCAACCACCATAACACCCGGCTAATTTTTCTTTTTTTTTTTTTTTTTGGGACGGAGTTTCGCTCTTGTTACCCAGGCTGGAGTTCAATGGCACGGTCTCGGCTTACCGCAACCTCCGCCTCCTGGGTTCAGGCAATTCTCCTGTCTCAGCCTCCTGAGTAGCTGGGATTACAGGCATGCGCCACCATGCCCAGCTAATTTTTTGTATTTTTAGTAGAGATGGGGTTTCACAGTGTTGACCAGGATGGTCTCGATCTCTTGACCTCGTGATCCTCCCGCCTCGGCCTCCCAAAGTGCTGGGAATTTTTTTGTATTTTTAGTAGAGACAAGGGTTTTTCATGTTGGCCAGGCTGGTCTCAAACTCCTGACCTCAGGTGATCCACCCGCCTCGGCCTCCCAAAGTCCTGGGATTACAGGCGTGAGCTACTGCGCCCGCCTCTGTACACATTTACTATTCCAGGGCTTTCATGCTATACAGTCTAGCATATGCGAAGGCAGCAACATTTGATGGTTTAATCTCAGGGGATTAGCATCCCAAAAGCAAGAGAACAAATCTGAATGCAACACCTTTTATGATTGTGGCTGTATTTTTAAATCATATAATATTTTGCTACTGGTTCCATATGAAATTTTAAAAAATTAATATTAATGATGACAATATTAACTTTAATAGGATCCTGGAATGTTATGCCACATTATAGAAAAGAAAAGATCTTTTTTCTAACTTCTCTCAACCAATTATCTTGTACCCTGAAGCTGAAAGGTTAATACCCTCTGTATTTTTCAACCAACCTGCCACAAACTGCTAACCTAATTTCAGTTTATGGATGTATTACATCAACTAGAGCAGAAAAAAAAACAGTTAAAACAAGCCTGATGATATACTATGGTTTTGTTTTAAAAGAGAAGTTAAACACAAGACAAAGACTGCAGAATTTCATTATACCAAGATTGTGTAGGGTATCTTTGTTAGATGAAAAAGGTATCAAAACCAAGTGACTAATTGTGGAATATCAGGTGTGTACATCTCAAATCCACCTTTCATTCACATCCTGTTCAATCTGGATGAATATCCAGGACCACCTCTTATTTCCTCACAAAATCTTGGGGTTTTTCTGAATGGAAAAGAAAAATGGTTAAACACATTGCATTTGTAACCTCTTTCATAATTACACTCCAAACAGTAAAATATCCATTCAAAGTGCAAGATAGACCAATAGATTTCAAAGTAAGAAAGTACAAAATGTTCACTGATATGGTTTCAGATCCCACATTGCAATGAGTCTTTAAGAAACTACCAACTGTCACATTTGGCACAGCATCAAAGCAAAATATCCACGATTATCTGAGAAGGCTATTAAAATATCCCTCCATTTTCCTGCTACATATCTGTGGGAGACTAGATTTTCTTCATCTGTTTCAACCAAAACAACAAATTTGCAACAGACTGAATGTGGAGCTACCAAAGTCCACCTGCCTTCTATTTAGCCACACATAAACTTTTAAAACAATACCATTCTTTTCACTA